TATTTTTGTCAAATTTTTATGATATTTTCAAATATATATTTTATTCAAAAATAAAAGCATCATCGTTTTCTCAAAATCACATAAAGCCATATTACAACATCGACTGAGATAAAGAATAAAATGAAATATTAAAATCACGATGTATTTCGCTGCATTGCACGAGTACGCTTCTAGTATATCTAGATAACTGATAAATAGTAAATTAACATTTTAAACCTAATTTTTTAGAGTTTTCGAAAAAGAAAGACTAAGGGGGTGTTTGGGATTGCTTATAAAAGCTGTTTTTTAACTTATTTCAGTCTGGCACCGGTGATAAGCTGTTTTCTGGTGTTTGGATAAGAAAAAAGAACTGCTTATATCGATGTCAAACCGGTAATAAGCTGTTTTTGATAAGTTAAATCCTTCATGACTTACGAAAAAATGCTTATTACCAGTTTACAATTTTAATCTTGTTTTATTTAACTCCGGTTTGATACCACATAAGTTAATAAACACTTTTACAAAAAAAAAACATAAGTTGTTTTAAATAAGCAATCCCAAACACTCCCTAAAAAAGCAAACCTGTTATCAAAAACAAAAAACCAACCTTATTCCCATCGAAGCTAAATCCCTAGAAAGAGGAAAGTTCCTTAACATTCCAAAACCCAAAAAGAATTCGACTTTATAACATAATTTTTGTTTTTAAGGATCAAAATTATCATTTTGGTAAAAGAAATCATGCTTATATGATGAAGATAGATCAAAAAACTTACAATATTGTCCTGACGTAACCACAAGGGTGGTGCCTGATTGGTTTGAGCTTGGTTCCAAAGGTCAAAAGTATTAGGAGATCCTAGTTTCAAATCCAAAGAGGAATAAAAATCCCCTTGTGGCTATGGAGGTTCAAATGCGGTGACTCTGGGTCATTTGCAAAGCAGGTGATCATCCTGGGATTAGTCGACTCGCATAACGGGTTGGATATCCAGGTTAATAAAAACAAAGATGACGGGATAGACAAAGTTGTAACCTTAACGTTGACATCTAGAGAAAGAAAGAAAAGAACTTGAAAGAGACCCACCAAAATTAATAGTCTTCTGCATTCTTACGTATAGAAAGATACAACTTGAAAGAAATAAAGCCGAAATTACTCAAAATATGAAAGAAAAAAAAAACTCGGATAAAAAGGTAAAAATAATTTTCTGTGGTAGAACAAAATATTTTTCATTCCCCCCTCTAATAGATTCTTTTTTTTTTTTTTGAGTTCCAAGGCAATGTTGTTAGGTTGTTTTTTGAAGCCGCTTTCCGAACCACGTTTTCTTTCAGGCCTTTCAACCAATCGATACGGCCAGGAGAGCTGTTTTTGCTAAGACTCGAGCAGTTTCTTGAAAACTCGCTTCAAATAATAACCTTTGAGTATTCACAGATGCTCTTGTTATTCCCAATAAGACAACTCGGTAACAGATCGCTTCTTCCAAAGCGCGTCCCATTCGTTCCGCTCGCAACAATCCAGTTAGTTCTCCGGGCGAAAAAAAACATTAGACATTTCGTCTTCTGAAACCAACACTTTTGATGTTATTTGACGTACAATAATTTCTATATGCCTATTATGTATATGCATCCCCTTAAATCGATAAACCTTTTGGACCTTATTAACCAAAGAAATACGACTTTACACTGTAATTAGCTCGTAATAAAACTCAAATAAAGATCAAAGAAGTCTAAAACCCAGTAGTTGTAGTCCCCAAAAATGTCTTTATTAACCACAAGGGTGGTGTCTGATTGGTTTGAGTTTGGCTCCAAATGTCAAAAGTATCAGAAGGTCCTAAGTTCAAATCCAAGGAGGAATAAAAATCCCCTTGTGGCCACGGAGGTTTAAATGCGGTGACTCCAAACTATCTGCAAAGCAGGTGGTCGTTCTGGGATCAATCGGCTCGCATAACGAGTTGGATATTCAGATTAATAAAAAAAATCCTTTATTCTTGTCAAATTATTATTGTTCTAAATTGATTATTTGAGTTAATTATTTGTATAAATTGAAACGAAGGTTATTAAAAATATTTTAATTATGATTATTTATTTACAAAAATAAATTTGGTGGTGAATATTCTCAGGGTTTTCTTGGTCTAAGTGGAGCAATACTAATCCAAATCTACCAGATGCTCTTCGCCGGCAAACCAACCACCTTCCTGCTCATGATCGCCGTCTTTCCGACACTGGTCTCACTCCTACTCATGTCTCTGGTTCACATAAACCCTTCCGACACCACCAACGACAGCCACCACCTGAACGCCTTCTCCTTCATCGCCGTCGCCACCGCCGCCTACATAATGATCATACTCATCTTCCAAAATCTCTTCCTTTTCCCACCATGGGCTCACATTCTAACCACTCTCCTCCTCCTGCTTATCCTTTCATCGCCACTTCACGTCGCACTCAAAGCTCAAACAAACGAACCACCGGTGCAGACCACCACGGCTCCATTGATCGTTGCTTCTTCAGAGGTTCATGATCAGGGTGCAAGTGCATTGGTTGAAATGAATCTGTTACAAGCCATGGGAACCATCAACTTCTGGCTCCTGTTTATAGCCATGGTTTGTGGGATGGGGTCAGGGTTAGCCACCATCAACAACATAACTCAAATTGGCGAGTCTCTTGATTACTCGACAATCGAGATCAATACAATGGTTTCTCTATGGAGTATATGGAACTTTCTGGGCAGGTTTGGTGGTGGTTATGTGTCGGATTTGTTCCTCCACCGCCACGGCTGGGGGCGGCCGTTTTTTATCTCGCTTACACAAGCGGCAATGGTTGCTGGCCATTTGATCATTGGCTCCGGTGGGAGTTTGTACATCGGTTCCGTGATCGTGGGTGTTTGCTACGGAGCACAGTGGTCTTTGATGCCAACAATCACGTCGGAAATCTTTGGGGTGAAACATATGGGGACGATCTTTAACACCATCGCGGCAGCTAACCCTGTTGGCTCGTATATACTATCCGTGCAAGTGATTGGGAAAATTTACGACAAGGAAACGGAAGCGGGCGGAGGTTCGTGCCACGGGATTCATTGCTTTATGGTTTCGTATTTTGTGTTTTCCGGGGTTTGTGTTTTCGGGTTTTTGGTTTCGTTGATGTTGTTTTTTCGGACGAGGGGATTTTATGGGTTGATTTTGCAAAGACGGGGAAAGCAGTTTCGAGTATAGCGAGGATGAACCGGTGGACGGGTTTTATAATACAAATCCGTAAAGCAAAAAGGCATCATCGCGTTTCAAGCCACCGGGGGCTATTACGATTGAGTATATGGTTTTTAAACATTTATTTTAATTCCGTTACATAAATATCGAAAATGTATATTTTATTCATTTTTACACAATATAAGTCATGCTTGTACAATAAAAATTACGACTTTATTAAATTATTCATCCTAAATATAGTATTTTTTTTAAGTGTAGAAAATAATTTATTTTCTCAAGGGACCTCAATCTCCGTCCCTGCCGGGGAATATAATTACATCCTCATCCCCAACAGGGAACGGGGAAACGAGAATTTTTTTTTTGTTTATACAAGTTATTTTAAATTAAATATGTGAGACACCATACATGTTTAAATCTCAAACATTCTCAATAAACCTAAAACTAAAATGAATTTAATTTAACACAAAAAACCCCACAACATCATGTAAGAACTAATAAGCTAAAACCAAAAAAAAATTCAATTAAATCCAAAAAACTTAAAGTCACAAATAACAAAAGATATTGAGTAGTATAAAATCATATCGAGTCATATACAAAACTTATCAAGTAATTGTATTTTGATTTGACATCCAAAATATTACATACTAACATTCAAAAAACAACAATTTTAGATTATAAACTTAGTTAGAAAATAGAAAATTATGAACTACCGCTTTAGTTGAAATAAATAATATACATATATATAAAATATATAGAGAGAGGTTGGTTATTATACTACCTTTGACATTTGTACAACCAATACAATCCAATCTCAACCGTCCATTTCATTTGATTAATATGTGATTTCATAGAAGTTTTGATTGTTTTCTAATATAAGGTATTAATCATAGTTAATGAACTATATTCATCTTCCATAAATATTCAAATCATAATAAATGAACTCTCATCATTTCTATAAATATCTCAATTTATTGGGTTGTATTGGTTGTACAAATGCGATAGGTTGTATTTGAAACAAACTATATATATATATATATATATATATATATATATAACGGGTACGGTACGGGGCGGGGCGGGGAGTACCATACTTGTCCCCGTCCAATCCCCGGTTTGAGACAAACGAAGATCCCCATCTCCGATTTAGCGGGGAATCCCCATTTCCAACCGGGGCGAGTGAACCGGGTTCCCCGACGGATCGGGGATCATTCTCATGTCTAAACACTTACCCTGTAAGCATTTATTAATAAAATTCAACATTATTGCTTACTTACCGGACAATATTTTATTCACTAAAAAGCATCGTATGCAATAATTTATCCCGGTAAGCGCTAACCATGGTAAGAGTCATCGTCCTCATTTATCAGGTAAAACTCTTAATTATTGTATTCGTTTCTACCAGATAAGACTATTAATACTTGTCATATTCATCCGATAAAATAAAATAAAGTGACTTGATAAGTGTTTATCTAGATAAGCGTTTGTTAAACCACATACAACAAACATTCATCTGATTTGTATTTTGAATCAAAAATATGATTATGAGATAGAACACAGGCCGAATTAGAGCAGTGGAACCGACTGGTAATCTGAGAACTCCACCGTCCTTCATCGGAAAATGGCGATGAAGAACAAATGGATCGCTACTGTGGCCAGCATATGGATTCAGTGCACCAGTGGCTCACTCTACACTTTCTCTTTCTACTCTTCCGCCCTCAAAGCCAGTCAAGGCTACGATCAGTCAACGCTCGATACCGTCTCCGTCTTCAAAGACTTCGGCGCTAACTCCGGTGTCCTTTCTGGTCTTCTCTACTCCACTGTCGCCTCTCCATCCAGCTCTATTACTTTCCGAGGAAGAAGAGGTGGGCCATGGATGGTGCTCTTGGCCGGTGCGATTCAGTGCTTTCTGGGTTACTTTCTGATGTGGCTTTCCGTCACCGGGACGATTCATCGGCCACCCGTTCCGGTCATGTGTATATTCATGTTGTTGGCTGCCCACGGCGTGACGTTTCTTAATACGGCCAATGTTGTCACTGCTGTTCTCAATTTCCCTAATCACAGTGGCACCATTGTTGGCATCATGAAGGTCCTCCTCTTCTCTCCCTCCATCTTCAACAAAAATCTTATTTATTTTGATCCTCTAAATTGTTTCCTAGTGCTTAGAAGTTGGAACCCTTTTTAAGGCACACCAAGTGTTTGATCAAAAGAACTTCATAACAACCTTCGTGTTTTGTCCCTAATTTCATCCTGTGAACAGGGTTTTCTTGGATTGAGTGGAGCAATACTACTTCAAGTATATCAAACAGTATTCAAGGCTGGACCAACTCCATACATTCTGATGCTAGCCCTGCTTCCATTTCTAAACACTTTGTTGTTCATGTCTACTGTAAGATCTTATCAAACAAATGAAGTTGCAGAAAAGAGGCATCTCAATGGTTTATCACTTCTTTCCATTGTCACTGCAACCTATCTTTTCTCTGTTATAATCATAGAGCAAACAGTCACTCTAACCTTACCAGCACGCATCATTGTGTTCTTGGTGCTTGCCATATTGCTAGCATCACCTCTTTATGTAGCAGTCAAAAGGGAAAACTTTATGGAAGCAAACCAGTTACTGATTTCAAACAATCAAGATTTCTTGGAAGAAGATGCATCCATGGAAGACAAGAATCTGCTGCAAGCTATTTGTACAGTAAACTTTTGGTGTTTGTTTCTTACCACAGCTGCTGGGATGGGTACAGGGCTGGCCACCATAAACAACTTAGCCCAGGTGGGTGAGTCCCTCGGCTACACGACCTCCGAAACAAGTACTCTAGTCTCGTTGTGGAGCATTTGGAACTTTTTCGGTCGATTTGGTGCTGGGTATGTTTCGGATCATTTTCTTTATACAAGAAAATGGGCTAGATCAGGGTTCATAGCCATCACTTTGGCACTTATGAGCATTGGCCATTGTATGATTGCTTCTGGCTTTCCTGGGGCTCTTTATGTAGGTTCTGTTTTGGTGGGTATTTTTTACGGTTCACAATGGTCCTTAATGCCAACAATTGCTTCGGAAGTATTTGGGGTTTCACATTTTGGGACCATATTTAATACCATCACAATTGCAGGTCCGATCGGATCTTATGTTATTTCTGTAAGGGTGATCGGTTATCTTTATGATCGAGAAGTTGGTCAAGGAGGGACAACGGATTGCATTGGGACACGCTGCTTCAGATTATCGTTTCTTATTATGGGTTTTATGACGCTGCTGGGGTTCGGGGTTGCGGTCGGGCTGTTCTTTCGGACAAGAAGATTGTATGAACAAATTGTACTAAGAGATCGAGGTTGTAGTTGAAATGTAAGGAAGCACCAAGTTTGTAAATAAATGTCTCTGAACTATTATTTAGAATAAAAAACCATTATACTTTCTCATTTTGAATGATTATGTAATTGAATACTTTTTTGTAATTAATAAACCATTGAATTTTTAAAAACTGGTTATCTACATTCTTTTAAGTTTTAACAAAAAAAAACTACCTTTAACCGACTAGAAATATCTTAAAGTAAAAAAAATCTAAATCATTATCATTTCCAAACCCTACCCCACCTTCAAACCCCTCACAAACAACAATATCACTCTCCCTCGCCCCTCCCTGTTGCTCCATCGTTGTCCGTTCTTCATATCGACTATCAAATTGTTGGCTCCCGTCATCGATCTCCCTCTATTTGATTCATTTTTAAGGGCTTACAAGTAGTTTCACTTTAAGATCCTTCTAGTCGGTTACATGTATTTTTGTTTAGTTAAAATGATGTAAGTAGCCACTTTTTAAAAGTTCGATAATTTATTATATTGAAAAGAAAACTTGTAAGGACTTAATCATTCAAAATGAGAAAATTTAATGGTTATTTCATTCAAAAAAATAGTTCCAAGACTTGATCATTTAAAATGAGAAGGTTTTAATGGGTTTTCATTCAAAAAAATAGTTCAAAGACTTAATCATTCAAAATGGGTTTTCCTTAAATTTTCCCATATATTAAAAATGAAACAAGTAGGGTCAAGAGAAACCAATCACATTTGATTTTGCATCGAATTCACATGTGGTTACATAACAGGGTCAATGTGTAGATCGTGCATTATTACATGTGAGTTTTAGTGTCAAATCACATATGATTTGTTCATACTCATATTTTCTCATTTGATCATTGTTTATGCCAAAAATTACACCAAATATAACTTAAAGTTTGTTTGTGGAGTGTTTATAATTAAAGATCAACCACTTTGAAATAAAATACAAGACAACAAGGAAAGATCAATACCAAAGGGCCTTTGGCCTAGCGGTATCGTAGCCCTTGGCCTTCTTGAAGGTCAAGGGTTCAAACCTCACCAATTGTGAGGAGGGTGTGTGAGTTTATTTGTTGCATTTGCCGTATATAAATATTATATACTTCAAAAAAAAAAACAAGGAAAAATCAATTAGAAGTGGTCGATCCTTCATGAGCTTTAATGAGGAGAACGAATAGACTTGATTGTCTTGGATCTTTGTCTTATGTTATGATCTTCATGGTTAATGGTCAACTTTGTCTTTATTCCTACAATAAAAATCATGTATAACGGATGTCGTGTGCAGTTACAGGCGTCGTTAGTATGATATGTCAAGGAAAATATCCGATCGTGGATTGCTAATTCTCGATCAACGGTTGTAGGTCTTACGGTCGTAGATAACCGCGATCATAGGTTGCAAGATCGTTGGTCATACGGATCTGTGTTACGAACGTCATGGTCATATAAAATATCTTCGTCAGTCGAGAGTGTGAATTTTTACTAAATCAGTCACTATTAGAGGTGTAAATGAGCCGGGTTGAGTCGAGTAGTAGGTTATTCGAGCTCAACTTGAAAAAATAGTATCAAGCTCAAGTTCGAATATTTTTTGAATTATCGAGCTTGATGCTCGTTTATAAACTCGAACTCGTGATCACTTATCTCGCTTATTGGCTCGAGCTTAATAATTTTTATATTTTTATCATATGATTTATGAATACAAGAGCATGTTTGGCTCGAAAAAGTGTCTGCTTGAATGACTCAGCTCGACTCGACCCTATTTTGGAAACTTAATCAAGTTTCCGAACAAAGCGAGTCGAACATTGGTTTTACGAATCTCAGATCATAAAGTTAAACGAGTTTTAGTTTGTATACGGGATCACTTTAAACTAGATAATTATTAGGCTTGAGTTTGAAATAAACGAGCTTGAACTCAATCTCGAGTAACTTATTAAAAACTCGAGTAACTTAGGGGGTGTTTGGGATTTGCTTATTTGAAATAACTTATGATTTTCTACAAAAATGCTTATCAACTTATTATAAGTTAGAATGGTTTAACTTCTTCAAAAACTTCTTATTACCGATTTGACACCGATATAAGTTGTTTATTCAAACACTTAAAAGTGTTTATTACCGATGTCATACCGGAATAAGTCAATAAGAGTTTTTATAAATAATTCTAAACACGGTTCCATAGAAAGCCCAAAATCCAGGTCCAACCCGAGACCCGTTTGTATTAGATATAGGAGGAAGGGGCGATTTGAAAAGGGAAAAGGAAAAAAGAAAAAAAAAACCGGAGGTTGAGGTTCAGTGCCCTTGGAGGTTTTGTGGGAGACGAGACGACGAGCAATCGGAGCTCACCGGAGCACGTTCTTCTTATTACTCTACTTGTTCTTTCATTTCGTCATTCAATTGGATTTATAATTTCATACGTAACTAGAGAGAATCAACATGAAGACGACAAAGGGAGGCAAAGTCATGAACCCTACCGACGCTTACCGCAAGGAGCTTCGGAAGAAAGAATTGAAAAGGGTAAGTTTTTCTTTTCAATTGATTATGTTGTTCTTGAATTGCTTTTTTAAGATGGTTGTTTGTTGCTGCTGTTGTTGTTGTTATGATCATGTTGATTGTAAGCGAATCGTCCTGGCCTGTTATTTTCCCTAAATCAATTCGCGTGTCTCGAAAATTGTGTTCCGTTTTTTTGTGTTAATGAAGGGGAATTATTAATTTGGATTGAAGGATTGTTTTGAAGGAACCAACCATGGTTTGGCTTAAGGAATTACTGAGCTTTATATACCTCCTTTAGTGTATTTCTTGAATGGATAAGTTCATCTCAGGTTAATGTAGGTGATATATATTAGGTCATAATCATTATATAGGGGAGATGGCGACAAAAAGAGCATTGAGATAAAAGATCCTCGTTGGTTCTTAGACCAATCATACCATTACTGATAATCTTGATATCCACTGGGAGAAGAGCACCCATTATTATTAGAAGATATGTTTATTTATTGCTTCAACTATATTTTTCAGTGATTCAAATGTTTAGTAGTCATGATACACATAGGTTGAGGTTTAAGCATAAAACATTAGGAATAAATGTGATGTTTCTTTCTTTTGATGCCATATTGATGCACAGAGATTGGTCATCTCAGCAAATCCCTCGTGTGCCAAGCTATCTAGCATGAGTAGCATCAACTTTTGTTTTGTTTTATTTTATTTTTGATACTTTGTGGGATTTCAAATGATGTAATGTGTTGAACATTCATCAACCATATTAATCTTGACACTATAGGTGGAACTCCCTTATATTTGTTTCTTTTGCTATTGGTGTTGTGAACCTGATATATCCGTATGATCTCCCTTGTTAACATGGCTTACGGGTGTATTCTTATCTTTAACAGAACAAGAAGGAAAGGAAGAAGGTAAGAGAGGTAGGGATTCTGAAGAAGGACCCTGAAACCCTCAAAGAGCAAATTGACAAGTTGGAAGCAATGAGTAAGTTTTGTATGATCTGAATTTTATCTCAATCCAAGTGACTGTGGCATATATATCAGTCAATGAGTTTATTCTTCTTAACAAAGTGCAAGAAACTAATCTGAACCTTCTCCCTCCTTATCTCAACAAAAAAATATAGCTTCCGACAAATCAACACATGCATGATTAAAGTTTGGCCATATAGGTCTGGAACTTAATCAAAAATGACAAGCCTGTATAAGTTCAAACATTTCTTTCCACTTATAGTCTATTCTCTCCAATGAATCTGTTATTAGCTGAAGTCTATGTGGAGTTTCCTTCCCTCCATGAGTTTCCTCCCAGAAGAAGGTTTTCCACTTTATTTGTAACTTTGTCCTTGGCTAAGAAGCACTAATATTGGCACCAGAAATGTGATATGAGTGGCAAGATTATATACTTGATACACAATTATTCGAAGAACTATGACTATGTACATTGTGGAACACTCGTTAAATTTTGATTTGTTGCAAGTCTATTCAAGTGATGTATGTTTAGTTAGACCATTAGTTATTGCATCTATTGTCGGAGTATTGGCGAAGTGACAAACATGTAAAATAATATAAATAAGGTACTAGTTTAACATTGAACGTCCGGGTTTTATTAAAAAAATTGGATGAACATGATGTAACAACTAACGTTGGGTTCTAACCATAGACGTTTACTTTTATACCTACATAAAGTAAGAACAAAAGATTTATTTCAGCTGATAAATGAAAGAAAAATAAGGAACAAATCAAGTGATGAATGCGCATGAGAGTAGACAAAGTAAGAATCAGATATACTTGCAAGTCATTGGTTGTGACTGAGGTGTTTGTTGGCTGTTTCATTTTCTTCTTCTCCTACAAAATTGAGGACGTTTTTAGAAGTAAACTATTGGGAGGAAGCGGTATTTTAGGAGAAAAAATATGATTGATAATCAAGTCAACATTGGCCAAATATGTTTTCAGTAGCTCTATTTTGGCACTTCATATATTGCATACAACAATTAAAGCATGTCTTGAGTGTATTTGGAGTGTATCTTTAGCATATAAAAGGGTAATCCTGGTGCACCTGGGCTCCCAGCCTTGTGAGCGTGAGGGTTGGGGAGGGATGTCCCTACAAGACATTTCTTGGCCTTTTTTTGAATTGTTCAAACTTTTTGGGCAAACTTTCTTTGTCTCACACACTTTTCGCAGGTCGGCGGTCTTCACAGATGCAATCGCTCTACTGACATCCCACCCCAGACCCCACCTTAAGAAACATGATCTTTGTATAGTTGATGAATAAAGCGAAACTACTTGATTAGGTCTCTTCTGTGATCCATGGGTTGGCTAATTTTCATGTGGGATATACTGGGCTTGTTGGTTTGGTTCCTACATGGCATTTCTCTTGCATGTTTTGCAAATGGATTGCTTCCATCACATGTCCTTGAGGTCACGAACGTGTAACCTTACTCGCTGGGAAGGTAACTTTGAGTGTATCCTAGACGTATCCAATCTGTTAAAAAGATAAAAAAAAGCAATAAAGCACTCACCCTAACCATCTGATACATAATCCAAGCATTTCTTTTCTCCTGCATGTTTGTCATTAATGCTCTTGTTATTTTGAGGTAATCATGCTTCCTAGGTCCTTGGCGATGTAAATTTTTTTATGTTCTTAGGATTTTGCATCTCAATGGCCATATCTAGTACAAATGTATAATGGACATGGTTTTCAATGGCTTATATTGTTTACCACCAAAAAAATTTGATGATATTTTTTCATCATTATTGCTATAGAAGGATAGTGCAGGGCCTCAATGAATTCTGCAGACCACTTTACTTTTTATCCTCTATACGTGATGTGTTGTAGGACACCCTTGCTTTTTCCTTTGATTTGCACCTAAAGCAACAGTCCTGTCTTATTATCGTCACACCCCTGCTGGTTTCCTCTTCTCGTGACTTGATCTATAACTTCGGGACTAACAGAGATAGGGGATAAGGCGCTCTGCTATTTTCTGCAATTTGCACCTAAAACAATAGTAGTTTGATAAGAATTCAAAAGAATTGCAAACAAATTGATAGTAAGAGAATAAGGATTGTGGCCAGTCGGATTATTAAGAGAATTTAAATGGAAATTCAGAAAAGAGTTCCAGGGAAGAACCTCCCTCTCTCAAAGCAAAAGTTAAGAGCCAAATTCAAGAACAATTCTCAATCCCATACGTAATACCCACTCCTACTTAGAGCAAATTTCCCCTCTCTTATAACTAACTAGACCCATTTTCCGTTATTGCCTCTTTGGGCCTTTGAGAATATAAGTTCCATATTCTTGGGTTAGGCACATCTTGGGCCAATCCAATCCGATTTGTAACAGACATATGGACAAACAGAAGTTGACTAAAATTCTTTGTCAATTACCACTATTGTAGTACATCTTAATTGCATGAAGCCTGAACCATATAAAATCAGATTTATTGTGGGATTTACTCTTTACCGGTGCTCAGCATATCATATGTGTGAGCAGGGATATGAATGCTATATCTGGACTCAAAAAAGTTTGTTATTCTCCTGCCATATAATTGGCATCAGTCGTCGACCATGTGGGACCTTGAATACCTTAAAGTGTGCGCCATTAACTCCATTCAGTATCATGTGCATATGTTTATGCATGTATGTTTACACATTTACACATATGAGAAATTGGAATATAGGTGCTTTTCTTCTGGCATTCAAGGCTCTTTATTTTGGGGCGTCAATGGCTCCTGGACAAAGAAAAAGAAAAGAAGCTCCAGCTTACTACCCAATTCATTTTATCAATAAAATGTGACCAATTATCCAACCAAAAAACTGCTTGTTACAAATAGCATCTTGCTGCTGGGTCCAGCTAAGATATCTTCAGAAAAATAAGTCTTGCTTTGACCACTATAATCTTTCTTTGAATTTTGTATTCAAAGATTACGTACATACGAGGCCTCTAATTTACAAAATTTTGTAAATTGGAGGCTCATATTAGTAGTTGAAGTCTGCTGAATTTACGCTATTGACCTGCGGATTATATGCATGACCTATAGGATTGCACTTGTTTTAAGTTTTTCTCCAAGTTCTTTCCTTCTGCCTAGTTAATGTTGCTAAAGTCATGTCATGTCATGTCATGTCATAGACATGTATTCTATGTTTCTTATGTTTATTTTCTTGATGTATCTTTGCTCTAATGTGCATTTGGGATCACAAGGGCTAGGTATCTGTCATATCATGGTTCTCCATTCTTGTACATGAGTTCCCAGATTCACCCTGTTTCCTTAGGGTGCTAGCCTTATAGGTGGATAAGGATGTGAAAGGCCATGACCATGAGGAATTTTGAATAACTATTTTCATTTTTGCTGCTACTTTTGATTATATCTTTTTGGTGACTTTCAAGACTCTTATTTGATTGCTACTGAATGGTGCAGAGGCAGATGGTGCTTTGGACAAAGCCAGAAAACACAAGAAAAGACAACTTGAGGACACATTGAATCTCGTCCTCAAGAAAAGGAAGGTACTTCTTAGGTGATGATCAGACAGTCACGGAATTGTATACAATCTTGTTTCTGTTAGTCCCAAGCACTGGTGGTGCCAGTAGAATATGCAAGTTCGATCTTGATTGTAAAACACATCCAATGAGGAATAGTACACTCTCTTCACAAATATAAATGTCTAAGAACATTATGGTAACCACGTTATATTACATAATCTTGTTAAATATAAGGTTATCCGTGATTTAGTGCTATTAGTTCAACTCATAATATTTTTCAGCACCATTCAATGTATACAATGTAACTTTTTGTTTAAGCAGACATGATACTGGTTAATCCATTTTGATCGACTGGGCTCATGAATTCGGATTTTTCTTGAACTCTGTTAAAAGTAAAACAGGCCGAACTCAAAAACACACTAACCTCAAGTTGCACCAGTTTGTGGCCCTGGCTGTGGGTGAGGATTTCATGTCCCACAACCTGTTCATTCTATGCATCGGTGATAGACCATATTGGTTCTTCTTTCTGTATTGCTGCAGTATTGGAATATATTATGGATGTGTATCAGAGGTTTTTCTTTCTGTTGGTCTTTTAATCCAATTGTAGGTGCTCAGTTTATCCGTAAAATGCAATTGAATAACAAGGTTTTCTAGCCATGAGTAAACAATATGTGGCTCATGACTGATCTGTTTTTTGACGCACTGAATGTGGACTGCGGTCTATTTTACATTTCTGGACAGGAATATGAAGAGAAAATGAAGGAAAAGGGTGAAGCTCCAGTTATGTTCAGGTTAAGTTTGTTGGATGTGATTGGTCTTGTTTATAAGAATTTCGGAGCAAAATATAGAACTTACTGAAACTTCACTTTCTTTTTTAGTTTAAGCCTGTAATTTTGTTTTGCATCTGCTGTAGTCATTTAGGGCCTCCTCGGCGACGGACAACCGCAGAGGAAGAAGAGAGAGCTAAGCACCCAAAGCCTGAGGTAATGTTTAAACTGGTTCTAGTTAGTAAATTATATAATTCTACCAACTTTTGGCATAACTTTAAGAGTTCTATTCGCAGGATTCTGTATACTATCATCCTCAATGGAACCCTACTGGTGCTCCTCCACCTGGAAAGCCTCCAATGTTCAAGTCATCGATAGGTTATGCTTGATATATATTTTCACCATGCCATTCTCTAGAAGGAAGGTTCAAATGAGAACTGTAAATATTTTGAGAACTTAGAGAACTATTCATGATTTCATGATGAATATCATGATAAGATATTCATGCATATTTTAGGGTTATTCGTCATGAATAACTAAAGAAATAGTTGATTTCCAGGTTCTCAAAGTATTTATGATTCTTTTTTGAACTTCTCCCTGTTCATATCTCTCTCCCTCTCCCTCTCCCATTCTCAATGTCTTTTTTTCGCTTTGCATTTCAGGACCAATAATTCCCTTATTGGAAGGTTCATCAAGTGGTGCTGCAACTGTTGCTGAATCAGATGATGTTGCTTCATCAATTCCTCCCCCACCTCCACCACCTCCTTTGCCACAAAGTGGTGATGCAGAGCCTAGAGACGACGCTCCTCTACCTGCTTCTCTGCCTTTACCCCCTCCGCCACCAATGCCACCAAAGCCTGCCACGTCAGAGTTGGGTACCATGTTGCCACCACCTCCTGGCCCTCCATCTAAAGATCAAGTTCCAAATCGCCTTGTGCTTCCTCCCCCTCCTCCGCTGCCACAAACTGCTCAGCCGCCGCCTCCTGGCACCGCAGGAACTGAGAGGGAGAAAAGTCAGTCTTCAAAATCAGATGACTCGGCTTCCAGAGAAGCGATTCAGGTAGATTTGGTTTCTTAATTTTCTTGAAGTGCTAGTAATAGAGGACGTTTAGTTAGATTCTGGTGCATTTGGTGCTACATTTAGATTATGATACGACAGGATCGAGTGGAACAAAAATGCATTTTTTGTTCCAGCGAAATAGGTGGAACAAAAAATCAGGAGATGGGGCAACACTGTTGATTTACTAAACTACACATCAAATCAAAACCCAAAACCTTGTACAGTTCTTTCACCTGCCTACCTTTTGAAGTAAAACTCTTACTCAATTATGTACATAAACACACATATCTTATTAAGTAAAACACAATTACAATATCCTGTGCACACACGCACAGAACAGAGTGTATCAACAATTACAGAGAAGTATACAATATGAAGCAGTACATATATTTGGTGAAAAGTTGCAACGGTTCATGTAAACAGATTTTGGCGGGAACTTCAACTATCAAATAACTGCTACTTAACAGAACAAACTATTACTTAACGGAAAAGACCCAAACGAAGGTTAGCTTATTTCCAATATACCTCACTCTCACATGTACAGTCTTGTTGCATAACAAGCGCACAAGGAACATTTATATTATTGTCAGAAAGTTGAATTGCTAATACATTGAATATTGCTGCCATTTTTTGAGTTGTATGTTGTTAAGTTTTGCTCAATGGGTAATAATTTTTCTCAGGCATCTACCAAGCTTCCTCCACCGCCTCCACCACCAGGGTTGCCACCAAAGTTGACCGGCAATCAATCTGAAGGTGGTTCAGAGCCTGGTCGCAATAATGCTTCAGAAACCAAGGACTTCTCTAAAATGGTTCCCCCGCCACCTCCTCCAAGGCAACAGCCTCCAGTTCCAGGACCTGGCATGGTCCCTGTTTTGCAGGCAGAGGTGCTACCCCCAGGGATCTCTCGTTTTCCACCGCCCCCGCCTCCTCCATTATCTGCTCTAGGAGTTCCTGGCCAGCAACCTCCTCCTCCTCCAGGAATGATGCCTCCAATGATGCCAAGGCCGCCTTTTGGGCCTCCCCCAATGATGAGACCACCACTTCCACCAGGCCCCCCTCCTCTTCCAATGGAGGACCTAAGACCAACTGTACCTCAAAAACCATCATACGTCAAATCAGCTGCATCCACTGTTGTTAAGAGGCCTTTAGCTCAGCATACTCCACAACTGACAGCCATGGTGAGTCTAATCATCTAGTTAGATCCCTTGATTTCGCCTTATTATGGATGTTTTATGTTATATTTTTGGGTGTTTTTTCAGGTGCCAGCATCAGTACGGGTGAGGAGAGAATCGGCTGCACCGAAGACAAAACCAAAGCCATCTGTTTCATCATTGGTGTCAGCTGCTGCACCAACTCCGGCTGTTGTGAAACAAGCAACGGTTAAAGTGTCATCTTCTTCTTCGTCGTCATCAGCTGGGAAACCTGGAAGCGTAGATGATTCGTACATGGCATTTTTGGAGGATATGAAAGCTCTTGGTGCTCTCGACAACTGATGCATATATATATTTTCCATCCTCATTTTGGTGTCAGAAGTATCTAAGGCTTTTAACTGATTCTAGATTGTATCGGATTAGACACCATGGGCCAAAATTTAAGGTAGGAAGAAGAGAACAAAAATGAACTGCAGAAGGATTTTAGTTTTGTATTCGTGCTTCTTTTTTAAATCAATCTTTTATCATTAAGGTGAAAATGAAACATACATCATATTTGGGGATGGGGGGCGAGTGAGAAAAGTAGGTGGGGGCAGTGAAATGACTGCATTGCTTTCAAATTATGGCCTCCAATTCCAAACACTTGCCACTGAGCACCAACACAGACAGGAGATTGCGGTAACATTTTTTGCCATTAAAATGGATTCTTGATCCTTTTCATGCTCAATCGATAAGGTAAGTGATATCAGTAAACCATTTACTTGGTAAGTGTGATAGGATCCAAGCGTTTATCACTACGTCAAAAGCAATTGCTGGTGGAGAAGGCGCAATTTATTTCCTTATAGCGTAGCAGCCAGCGCCACGTTTCGATTTAGGAAGATGCTGATCAATTACCCAACAACCCCCCTCCCCCAGCATCTGCCAGCACTAACAAGATATTCGCTAGAAGTTAATGGCTGCACAGCATGCCTTTGACATTATTATGCACTCCATGGGATTCGAACCCGTGACCTGCTCTGATACCAAATGTAAGTCCATTATGATCAATCTTCAAGTAATCTTCTATGAATCCATGGGAAAGATGATATGAACATTAAAAACAATCTTGGAAGGAGATGAGAGTAAAAGTCAAATGGTCAACTTCTTATAATAAGTATATGATTTTACAATTGAGCTCTTACCTAAAATCACTAAAGACAAACTATATATAGGGTCAAACTTGAACCATTCAAAGTCAAATTATATACACAAGGTTAAACACGATGTCTAAAACAATGATAGACAAAATTAACTTTCAAGACTAATACAATTTTAACACTGAAAATCGGTCCTAACAAAGTTTTTAGTAAACGACTCACGAGACTCGCATACAAGGAGTCGGATTATTATGGATTGTAATTCATTAAAATTGGTCTAGCCTTTTAACAATTTATACTAAAATTTCATTAACAAATAAATTATATTAAAATGAAAAAGTCTTAATTTTCTTTTCATCTTCTTCAAAACATAAAAGACTTTGAAATCAAACGATAGAAGAAGTTTGATTATATTAATAACTTAATTTTCATTTTCATTTAATTTTAGAAAAGCTATTTTCATTTTAAAGTCTTTTTTTTAATTAAAATGAAAATAACTTTTGAGTTTTGATCTTCTCATTTCTTATTTTCAATGATATGGAAGAAGATTGAAAATGGGTTTTTATTTATATAAATAAATAGTAAGTCGTATATTATGAAACACTGGTTTTGAAGTCAAGGAATTGAAAGGCAGTCATTTTTCACGTTTTAGAGTACGTATATACTCGTACCGTTATTTTAATTGACTACAAAACAAGTATCGTCCCACTTACGAGTATGTTGGAGCAAGTTTGATCAGTAAAAGAAAATTTTGCCATTGCTTTACATGTATCAACCAGTACACAGAGAACTTTGAATTGTCTAATTCAGAGGAGACAAAGAGTTGGGTGTAGGAACTACAATTATATGATTTTTAACATTTGGATTTCGGGCCGTTTACCAAACGCTTACCAAGTCACTTTACTTTACCGAATGAATATGACAATGGATAATAATCTTACCCGATAAGAGCGAAGGCAAGAATCGAGAGTCTTACCCGGTAAGTGAGGACAAAAACTCTTACCATGGTTAGCGCTTATTAGGATAAATTATTGCATACGATGTGTTTTAGTGAATAAACGATAGTGTTGAAATTTACCGGTAAATGCTTATCGGGTAAGTGTTCAGGTAAACGGCCCCTTAGGTTAATGATGTTTTTAAGCTTGTACATCATGCATAAACATATGTATAAGATGGTTGTACAAATACCCACACCTTTTAAAAATTCAAGAAAACTAAAACTCGTTTTTTTATAATATAGTATTAATAGATATATTTTATCGTGTGTATTTATGTTATTTAATAGCATGATCAAATCCAAAAATATTCGATATTGGACTCATTTTGAAAATATTGACGAGACGATTATAATGGTATAATTTGTAGAAAGAATAAATGCATTTTAGTTCCTATAAATTAATTATGGTAATATGATAAGGATGTAAAATGAAAAATAAAAAAGTAAGAGATACAAAGTAAATTAAATGACTAATTATACGGGTATAAAGTGTAATATAAAAATTAAAAATGATTTGATTTTAATATGTGTGAAATCGTAAGAGGTTGTGGAAGCTTTCAAGTTTGTATATTTGACATAACAACATGTACATCCAACAACTTTATTTTAGCAATTATAGCATTAACTATATTAATAAAATATTATTTCTCTCTTCTATATATTTATAAGTAATTCTTATTGGTCGGATAGAATCAAATATAATTTCTCTTTCTTCTTGATACTAGTTGTGTACCAGCGCAATGCGGCGAAAGCCGTGAATTTTAATGATTTTGAAGTTTCACTGGTTTTATTAGAGAATATTTAACGATGATATAAGTTACACTTAGTCTTTACATTTTAATACAATTTGAATAATAAAAGCTTTGGTTCCAATTATACTCTACCGACGGAAAAAATTGTATGACAGTTTAAAATCCAACATATTTAAACGACTCCACAAATGTGTTCGATTTACACAAAGAGCAAAGAATCGAGATTGAGAGCGAACGTTCTAGAGCAATTGAATGAGAGAACTTTTAATAACTCATGGTGAATATTAGTTTGAATCTCATCCTGGGGGATGAAGAGAAGACATAGAGGTATGAGATGGTGAAAGCATGAGTGAAATGTGTCAAAAATATCTTGTGTACATGAAAAGAAAATGTAATAATTTGCATTGGTAACTTGTACTATGTGTTATTTTAATTGTAGATTAAAAGATTTTAAAGTAGTAGTACTTAATGTATTATGAATTGTTTTTAAGACTTTTAAGACTTTGTGCATAAATGTATAATACTTTGTGTATTAAAAATTATTTTTAAGACTTTTGATAAATCTAGTTTATAAGGTAGTATAGATATAAATATTTAGGTATTGTTTCTCTTTTCAGAGATTTTTACATTCTCTCTTTTTTTTTTCTCTCTATATTTTAGCATAACTATTGAAGTAAAAAGTTTCTAAATCTTCAAAAAATTTATATTTTAACATAGCTGTTGAAGATGTTTTTATAAGATAAGAAAATAAATTAACCACTGTAACAGTATAAAAAAAATATATTCATAAGAAGTAGAGATGGACAAATGGGCCCGGCCCGGCCCGGCCCGTAACCGACGGAGGACCGGGACCGGGACCGGAGAGGGACCGGTTAAGACCGGGACCAGTAGGGACCGGTTGAGGGACCGCCGGTTATGAACCGGTTAGGGTTTTTGACGTTTTTTGGGACCGGGACCGGTTATGTAACCGGTTATAGGCCCGGCCCGGCCCGGCCCGGTCAACGAAAGTCAACGAAACGTATATATATAATAAACCGTATTTTTATTGTGTATTTTTAAACGTATTTACAACAAAACGTATTTATAAACGTATATATATATATATATATTACAAAACGTCTTTATAAACGTATATATATATATATATATAACAAAAACGTATTTATAAACGTGTATATATATATATAACAAAACGTATTTATAGTTAAATGTATTTATAATAAAACATATTCAAAATATCATATTACAAACATATTAATAACATATTAAAAATTTATTAATAACAAAAAATTTAAAAAAAATCATTTTTTTTTAATAGGCCCGGTCGGGACCGGTTATGGGACCGGGACCGGGACCGGTTGGGACAACCGGTTACTAATAACCTTGACCGGTTACAAGGAAAATCACCGGGACCGGTTACCGCCGGTTTTTGTCGCGATTAGGCCCGATAGGGACCGGTTAAGGCCCGGCCCGGGACCGAATTTTGGCCACCTCTAATAAGAAGTAAGGACTAAATTTGGGCTTGTTAGCCCAATAGAAAATCCAGGCCCAGATTTGAGGCCCAAGTGGATAACCCTAGAAAATAGTATAGGGCATTACAAAACCCCTCTAATTTATACGTTTTTGAGTCCCCAGCATCAATAACAGCAGCAGTCTTCTCCTCCCGAGCCGAACTCCAAGCAGGTTAGGGTTTTCCTCCGAGAGGATCCACCCTTCGATTCAACGTAAGATTTCACTCTTCATCTTCCTCTATTTTCAGATTGTTTCAATTGAATGCCTTTCCGTCATTTTCAACCTTAATTTCTAATGTCATCTTGGTTCTTACTGTACGTTGTAGAACTAGTTTCTGTGATTGCATTTCGGTGTTATTCTTCTTGTATGCTTGATCGATACATGATTATGGGTTTATTTGTGTTTGCGCTCCACTATATGGAGTTTGAGTAGATTTGATGTTATATCTGGACACTTGTTCGACTATCTGTTAACTGATTGATGTTAGTTTTAGTGTTATAGTATTGTTGACTGTAATTATGTTAAACTTGCTAATTGAAATTATGGTTAGTTGTGGAGCCTCGAGTGAAGGACGGGTGAGCTCCAAGCTTGGTTCTTCTCATAGTGCTCCGTACATGTAATGCCTCACCAAAATGAAAATGGAATATTTGGCTCTGTTTTCATTGAATTGTTTGAAGGCATATATGTTGCTGTTTCACTCAAAGTTTAACTTAATAATGATTATAGAAGATTTTGTTGTGGCACTGTCTTATTGTTTACTTGTTAACTGAACTGAGAAAATAATGGGATTGTGTAATGGACTAAGTATTTGTTTTAAACTATTGCTATTTGCAAACCAGATCTTCAAGATGTATACCTCAATGAAGAAGATCCAAAAGGATAAGGATGTCGAACCCACCGAGTTTGAGCAGAGTGTTGCTCAGGTCATTTGCTGATAATGCCATCTCTTTCTAATTTTATTTTGATTGCTAAGTTGTTACTATCTGTCATTAGAGGTTTTTCTTATTGATTTCTATCTATTTTGTCACTGCAGGCTTTGTTTGACTTGGAGAACACTCACCAAGAGCTCAAGAGTGACTTGAAGGACTTGTACATCAACTCTGCAAAGTAAGGATGCATTAGTTGTATGTGAATTCTTTTTGTTACTCCGTCTGTATAATTGATGTATTCTTTTTTTGCAGTCAAATTGATGTATCTGGAAACCGGAAGGCTGTTGTGATCCATGTTCCTTATAGATTGAGGAAACCATTCCGCAAGATCCATACCAAGCTTGTCAGAGAGCTTGAGAAAAAGTTCAGTGGGAAGGTACTTTGCCATATATTATTTCTTTTCTTGTCTTTTGGATGCTAGTTTAGGCAGCGCTTCAGCTTGCTGACATTTGTTGTTAGGTCTTTGAGAAACTGAACTTATCATGATGATGCTTGATGTGAGCCATGTAAATATCTTTTTCAGAAATCTTAGGTTCAGTGGCTTCATGGTGCATGTTTGTGGTAAGTGTAGGTTCAGGAGCTAGATAGGGGTTCTAAGCTTTCCTTGTATGGTTGATGTACAGTGATGACAAAAGAAGTGCAGTGCTTAACTGGGTTACAATTTTAAGTGGATAGGATATCTGAGTGGCAATGTTCTAGCATGTATTTTTTAGTTTTTGTCACCATTGTGCTTTTTAGCCTACCAGAATGCTCATCTATGGTTTCTGTATACACCTGATTTGTTGCTCATGCAGCCTGAGCTGACAAATGATTTGGTTTTGTTCTCTTGTTTCTCCTTATGCAATCCTGGCATGCATATGTATCATATTCTTATTTACATTGAACCCTATGGTCCCTATGAATGAATGTTTATCTAGTTGAAATTAGAAGGTTGAGTCCGATGCTTCTGATATGATGATTATTCTGTGGGGTTATGCCTTTGTTGGCATTTGAGCAACTTGTACATGGTTTTTGGTCACAAATTACTTTATCTGCAAAGTGAAAGGTAAAGGCCTTAAAGGCTTCTTTTACCAACCTTTTCAAAGCCAAGTAATCTTGGTGATAGTGTTATCTTAATCATTGGTTTTCTAATTTATATCATGAATGCCACCATCTCTTCTTTGCTGGTAGATTTGCTTAACTTGTAGTTGGTTTAAGAGCTAATAGTCGTATTTGGCTGACATGTTTAATTTTGGTTGTTAACAGGATGTGGTTTTCATTGCCACCAGACGCATAGTTCGACCACCAAAGAAAGGTTCCGCAGCCCAGAGACCTCGATCTCGCACCCTTACAGCTGTGCATGATGCCATGCTTGAGGATGTCGTCCACCCTGCTGAGATTGTGGGGAAACGTATCCGATATAGGCTTGATGGTTCCAAAATCATAAAGGTGAATTCAAACACTCTTTTGCATATCCCCACTTGCTAAACGAAAATGCCGTTTGGATCCAGGCTTCCCATGCTAACTCTTTTTTCTACATCGTGCAGATTTTCTTGGACCCAAAGGCTCGTAATGACACAGAGTACAAGCTGGAGACATTCAGCGGAGTGTACAGGAAGCTTTCCGGGAAAGATGTTGTGTTTGAGTACCCTATTACAGATGCTTGAGAGCATGTTAGCTAGGCTTTTGAGTCGTGATGAGGTTGCTTTGATGTTTCATGTTGAAAAATGACCATGATTTTATTTATGCTTTCCCAAATTTTGAGTTATAGTACATCTCCTGGACCATTCTCCATTGCTGTTGCTTGAATTGGAATTGCTCTCGTTTTAGTCGGTTGATTGAGGAATCTTTTTTTACACAAGCAAAAAAAGGCAAAAATTGGTTAAAGACCATTTCGCCTTTTACCGAGTGGTTGTACCAAATGGATCTGTGACTCTGGTTAGTTGCTTAGTAGGGACCGGTAGCAGGTTTTTGGGTTTTAACCGTGACATTATGCATCTGAGTGGTAATTTCTTCAGATATGCGGTTGGACGCTCTAAAGCATGTATTTTTTTTATTAACCTGAATATCCAATTCGTTATACGAGCCAGACTAATCTCAGGACAACCACTTGCTTTGTAGATAGCTTTGAGTCATTGCATTTGAATCTCTGTAGCCTTATGAGGATTTTTATTTATCTTTGGATTTGAAATTGGGATCTTCCTTTTGACCTTTAGGGTCAAGTTCAAAGCAATCAAGCATTGTTTTTTGGGACCAAGCTCAAACCAATCAAACATCATTTTTGTGGCTATGCTTTTTTTTTTATTACTAGTTTGAAATTAGTGTGTTTTTCTAGTTTCTTTACTTTGAACAGTCGTGCCCACCATCATTTCAATTCGTATTTTTCATGAATAAAACAAGTTTGAAAGAACCCATTTCACATGCCAAGTCAAAGTGACTTCATTTATCTATTAATTAATTCATTCATATTATAATAACTTGTGTTTTTTTATTACAAAAACATAAATAGCATTAAATTTGATATAAAGTTTTACCCAAATATCATTCGTCTCTAAAAAAATTGGGAGCTTTAATTGGATAAAAGATATTATGTCTGGATAAGCATTAAACGTTGGCTGAATCCGAAAAAGACCAGTTTCTTATTGAGGGAAATATATTTGTGGGTGAGAATTTAAGGGGTAAACCGTTATTACAAACGTGATGTCAGACACAAGTTTTGAGTTAAGTCATATGTCACAACGAACCGTTGTTAATAATGTATATTAATATACTGTAAAAGAATCAACTATGTCTTAAAATAAAATTCAAAAAACTTATAACAATACTTTATCAACATTTATAGTATTATTTAAACCAATTTAAAATTAAAAAAAAAAATGAAATTTTCTTCAAATTAAATTATAATTTTGCACAAGTCTCCTGTAACTTATTTTCTTCTTTTTTGCTTCATGTCTCCTTCAACAAGTTGAATATCACCAGTGTTTATTAATAAATAATACCCTTTATTTAATTAATTAATTAATTTAAGAAATAATAAATTACAAGTTGGGTTTAGTGCCTGTCATCCATATGTAAATTTCAAGATTGAACAAAAAGCATACCCATGAGAAATACAATCAATGCTGGTCACAGGACATGAAACAAACACTTTCCAACCAAACAAATTAAAAACATCCATCTTAAAAAAATCAAAACATACATAAATTTATCAAAAATCAAAAGTACCAGGAGGTTCTAGGTTCAAATTTAAGAAGGAATAAAAATCCCCTTGTGGCCACGAAGGTTCAAATGCGATGACTCCGTGTTATCATAAAATATAATATGATAGAAGAGAGAAAAATCTTTGCTAGCATACCAACTACATAGATTTGCATTAAGAATCAAAGTGTAAAGTCAACTATGAAGACTCCCTGCCTGCATGATTCAATATCTGATGCCATCACAATCCCTTCACACATCATAACTTAAATGCTTCAAAAACTTTCATGAAGAAGAAGATGAAGTGATAACCCTTTTTTTGGACTTTCCACCATGGCTGTTTCTGTTCTTCATATTCATGTCATCTTCATCATCTCCTTCACTTCTGTTCTTCATCTTCTTCTTCTTCTTCTTGTCACTCCTGCTCTTTCACTTCCTCTGTGTACAGATTCAAGTATCAAAATTTCTCCATTTTTGAGTTTGTTTTTTGATATGAATTTTGCTTCTGGTTGTAATGATCTTCATCTGTTTATGGCAGGAACACCAGTTAGGCCCAAGACTCCTCTGGTTTTCTGTGGCTACAATGGCAGTTCGTGCTGTGATTCCATCCAAGATTCGAATATACAGAAGCAGTTTGAAGCCATGAATGTGTCTCAGTCTGATTGTGCTTCTCTTCTCAAATCCATCCTTTGTTCGGTATGAATTCGTATATTTCTTGATTATGATCTTGAATTGCAACGTAATTCTATCCAATTTTGAAAAGTTTGATTTGATATATCATAGAAAACTAAGGTCCTATCCATTCCAGATTGAAATTTTTGTCTCTATTGGGTATTTTTAGCTTTGCTTGTGCAAGAAAAACCTTAGTTTTTTTTTATTAACCTGGATATCCAACCCGCTATGCGAGCCGACTAATTTCAGGGCGACCACCTGCTTTGCAGATAGTCCGGAGTCACCGCATTTGAACCTGCCACAAAGGGATTTTTATTCCTTTTTGGATTTGAACCTGAGACTTTTGACCTTTGGAGCCAAACTCAAACAATCAGGCACCACCCTCGTGGTTATTTTTAGATTTGCTTGTGCAAGAAAAACCTTAGATTTTTTGTCCATGTGTATGTGAAACCCTAAATTACTCGTAAAAAACCAATAACGACGGTGACAGGCCCGGGATTTTTGTTGAATGGTCTCCAATGAGTTATTAGAGTTTTTAGTCAAATTCCACTAATTCTTGGATTTCTTATTGTTGATTTCGAGGGATTTTTTTAAGTATTTTTGGTCGAGTTGATGGGTTAATTTTGGTTCACGGTCTCTTTTATTTTCTAATATCTTGAAGAACCCCTCAAAGTTTAGCATGTGCATCTTTCATACCTAAAAAGTTCTACTTGCAAAAATCAATTGAGCGGGTTGATATCCCTTGTAATTTTTTATATTCCGGAGCATTCCTCAAAATTTAGCATATGCATCTTTCATACCAAAAAAAATTCTACCTGCAAAAATTAGTTGAGCGGGTGCACGAGTCCCTGGGGTATTCTTAGGTCCATCCTTGCGTGAGGATTGAAGGGGGGTTTCAACATATATCAAAAAGAAAGTGTCTAAGTTTAGCTGATATGGAACTCCAACGTCGAAGAATATTTGAAAGCACTTTCGAACCATCACACGGATTCGACCCTATCCTAAAGGAGAAGAAGGAGTTCCTTTGTTGAGACTTTTTTTAGTTTCCTTTAAGTGGATTTTGCTTAGTTCAAGACTTTCCGGAGTTGTAAAAGGACCCTCCAACTTAGCCTGGAATGGCAAGTTGTCTCACACAATAGAATTTGACTTTGATATTACGCGAGAATATGTGAAACCGTATATAAAATTTCAAAGGAGTTCTTGAGAAGAGATGGGGCTCCAACGTATATCAAAGATATATATACAAGTCTAAGAAGTTGTTTGGCAATTGTTGAATGGTTTGGTGCAGAATGATTAAGTGGTCAGAATGATTAATAGGCTCTCATGATATAGTGCAAAATAAAATATAATTGTTTGGTAATTGTATACAATGAAATTAGGACTCTAAATGGTTAAGGGAGATCCAGTATACAAAATCATTCAGAGGGTTTTAGAACCATTAAAAGACAGACTTTTTTTTTGCGAAACAAGATTCACCTTTTAACGATTCAGAAATAATCTCTTAATAAAACTATTAACAGTTAAACAAACAACCCTAAACTCACGCTACATAATTTCATTTTTCAGCGATGCGATCCGTTCTCTGCAGAACTTTTCATGGTCAAAACCGTTCCACGGCAAGTTCCTGTGCTTTGCAACTCTACAGTTTCATCAAATTCATCGCAAACGAACCAAGCCAAGAACAATTTTTGCGAAACAGTATGGGAAACCTGCCAAAATACACCCATAAAGAATTCGCCATTTTCGCCATCGTTACGAGGCCAAGCTCCCACCCCAGCAAATTCCAGCAACACACTCGGTGATATCTGGCAATCACGAACTGATTTCTGTAACGCAGTTGGCGGACCTTCGCTCGATGGTTCTGTCTGCTTCGATGGTGAAAAAGTCAGCCTAAACGCCACCACTAACAGCACCATAACTACCCCCACCGGCATGTGTTTGGAGAAGATCGACAACGGTCCGTACCTTGACATGGTGGCTCACACCGATGGCTCGAACCGCGCCTTCTTTTCCAATCAGAAAGGCCAGATATGGCTGGCCACAGTTCCAGAAGTTGGTTCTGGACGTCCGTTGGACCTTGATGAGTCCAACCCGTTTCTTGATCTGACCGATGAGGTTCACTTCGATACTCAGTTCGGTTTGATGTCAATAGCGGTGCACCCGAATTTCGAACAGAACGGCAGGTTCTTCGCTTCTTTCAACTGTGACAAGTCGCAAACGCCGAGCTGTTCGGGAAGATGTGCTTGTAACTCCGACGTGAACTGTGATCCTTCGAAGCTTCCTTCCGATAGTGCAGCCGAGCCTTGCCAGTATCAAAGTGTTGTGGCCGAATACACCGTCAACGGGACAGCATCTTCACGGACGTCCGTGGTACTACAATTGTTCTTCATTGGCAAGTTTTACTTCGTTCTTATGTTCATATATCATAATATCTGATGGATTCGTTACTCCAGATTCCTAATGCTTCACCGGTGGAAGTTAGGAGGATTTTCACGATGGGTCTTCCGTTCACGTCTCACCACGCCGGCCAGATTCTCTTTGGACCAAACGATGGGTATTTGTATTTTATGATGGGTGATGGTGGCGCCGGTGATCCATACAATTTTGCACAGGATAAGAAGTCATTGCTGGGCAAGATTATGAGATTTGACGTCGATGACATACCCAGTAAGTGAAACCATGAATTTTCACACTTCTGAGGTCAAAGATACGAATTTCCGACTTCAAAAGTCAAAACTGTTTTCATCAGAAGTTGAACTCTGTATCTGTATCCAGGTGAAGAAGAAATTACACGTCTTGGGCTATGGGGAAACTATTCGATCCCTAGAGACAATCCGTATGTTGAAGATGATGATCTGCAACCAGAAATTTGGGCCTTAGGATTGAGTAATCCATGGCGTTGCAGTTTCGATGCAGAAAGACCATCTTATTTCATGTGTGCAGATGTAGGCAAGGTATTACAAATGAGAACCGTAAATATTTTGAAAACCCAGATAAACTAATTATTTATCATTAATAATACATGAAATAGTTGATTCACTGGTTATCCGTGCTTATGTTTCCTATTTGTTTCAAGAACGATTACGAAGAGGTGAACGTGATCACAAAAAATGGGAACTACGGATGGCGTGTTTACGAAGGATCAACCCTTTACATTCCTGAACAGAGTCCTGGAGGAAACACATCTGCAAGCTCCATAAATCCGATTTTCCCAGTAATGGGATACAAACACTCGGATATAAGCAAGAACGAAGGTTCGGCTTCAATAACGGGAGGGTTCTTCTATCGCTCCACAACCGATCCATGCTTGTATGGAAGGTAAACAAACTAGTAAAAGATCCTTCTTTCTGTTAACAAATCTGTTGAAATTCCATGTTAGCTTAGACTTTATTGGAACCCCCTTCTCTCTTCAAAGCCTCTTTTGGACTGTGGTCTTATTAAGGTTCCACATATTCTCACATGGTATCGAAGCAAAAGGTCTACTACTGTGGGGCCATCTACACTTGTCTAGGCTCCCTTACAAGGGACTGTTGAAGTCCCATATTTCCTAGACCATACTTGGATCATTTTTCCTCAATATATGTTAAAACGTCTTTCCTCTCCACAAGAGCTCTTTTGGAGAGTAATCTGACGAGATTTCATATAATCTCACAAAATGAAACAATTGACTTTTAGGGAAAAAAACTAGCTAATTTTGGTATCTTGGTAACTTGCAGTTACTTATATGGGGATTTATACGCTGATTCGATGTGGGCAGGCGTTGAAACGCCTGAAAACAGCGGCAATTTCACGGCCAACAAGATCCCCTTCACTTGTGCCAAGGATTCTCCGGTACCTTGTAATCTTGTTCCAGGAACTTCACGTCCTGCCTTGGGTTACCTCATTTCGTTCGGCCAGGATAACAAGAATGACGTATATCTGTTATCCACTAGCGGTGTGTATAGAATCGTTCCTCCAAGCCGCTGCGGCTACACCTGTGCATACCAAAACACAACCACCGGTTCAACCTCTGGTCCAACCTCCACCCCTGGTTCAGCTGCAAACATGGTTAAGGGTTCATACAACATCCCACTGATGCTTCTCTTGCTTTTTCTTGGGTTTGCCTACTAAATTTGGTTAACAGACTTGTCTAAAATCCTGCTTTTTTTTCTAATCGTTGAAGAATATTATTATTTAGATACAATTTTCATTCTCTGGAAAATAGAAAGAGAAGGGGAAAGATGCAGTTTTAGATTAAAATCCAACAAAATCTTTCAATCTTGTTGAAGTTGCTACAGTAAATTACAAATGATTCAAGATTTTGTTGTATCAAAACTTCCCCGTAAACCCCATCTGAGAAAGAAGGGGAGATAAGAAACAAAATAATCAAAGAATCTCGAAAGGAGGTCTCTTGATCGGCCCACGATTCTGTTGGCGAAAACGGGTGGTGGGTGTCATCTCATATTGCAGCATTCTGGTCGGCCATGGATCTGTAACTTGTTCCACATGCACAGCATTTGTCTCGGAGATTGATAGTGTGCCGTATAGTAATCTTCGATGCAACCAAACTGGCAAAACTTTAAACTGTGTACATATTCTACGCGTTTTGTGTTGTTGAACTGTTCTACCCACATTCCCATACTCACATCTTCCATCTTGAACAACTTCAACTTATGCTTCTCAAACTCCATGGCTATGAACTCTGCAACATCCGATGATAGAATGTAGCCTGGACCATTTGCATACGGTGGATAATCTTCTTCCGGCCATTCCTGACCATAGGCAAAAGATTTAAGTTAAACATCATCTTCAAAAGATTCAATATGAGAATCACTCATTCAAGAACACACACAATCCTAGCGTTATACTGGACGGGACAGACAAGAGTGAGGTAAGCAAGTGAAAGAATTTTGGATGTTTTAAAGATTTAATTTGACATGAGTAGTTTAGTAATTTAATAAGTTTGTCTCATCTCTCGATTTTTGTTCCACCTATTTTGAGGTAACAGATAAATGCGGTTTTGGCTCATTCAGATCCGTCCAGTCTCAGTCCAAATGTCGCAACAGATGTGGGACAACAAGTTTTTGCTGTGTCCCGCATACCAAACGCACCCTAATGCCATCAAGCATGTTTGACATGTTAAAACGAATGATTAGATCAAAGAATTCAAGAACTCCACAAGATAAGCAATCATATTAACACGGTAGAACCATGGATCGATCACACTACACCAATTGGCAAGTAGAATATGCAATATGCAAAACATGTGGTATAGGAAAAACATCAAATGAGAACCATAAATATTTTTGAGAACCATGAGAACCATGAGAACCAATATGTGCATCAACGCATATACACTATATTGAATTTCAGTAGTATAAGCATCAATGCATATATGCCTGTATATATAGTAGATATGCTTTAATGAATACTCACTGACACAATACATATTTTGATAAGAACATGTGTGAAAGAGATGCACGCTTATGAAGAAGAAAACAGAACAAAGATAGTACCTCATATGTTACAGACCATTTACCATATCGTAGGGGTTTATGGTAGTAATTGATGTTTCCCACGTACAGGCTCTTACCGTCGCTGATTTTATTTGCTTCGTTAAGAACAGCATCAACTCTAACAAATGTGTCGTCATCACACTTCATGATATACTTAGCTGATGCTGTGCGAACCTGAGTCAAATAATATACAAAATGAGCACCCATGGCGTACCCCAAAGAGCTCAAAGGCCAACCAAGTATATCCCAACCAAAGGTGAGTTCTATGGACGGGATGTAGGCAGACCCGACCCATACCCAAAAGAGTAGAGTGGTGGTTTCTGAAGACCCCCGATTTGTGCAAAGTGTGCAAGTCCAAAAAAACTCAAAACTCACCCCATATTCACATATTGCAACAGTTTTCAAAACCACAAGATCATAATTATCCATGTAAGGCACAATAACGATATCGCCAAAGAAATCTGCTTCTTTCTTTAACTCGATGTTCACTTCTTTTCTGGCATGCTGCACAAACATTAACGCACCAAAATAAAACGACTTGCAATATCAAAAACAATAATTTGATGTCACTTGTCATTTAAATCTATACTTACCAACGCAACAAAGAAACGAGCGACAACATGCGAAGACTTGATGAGATTATGCTGCATCCAAGACTTTCTGACAGCCATCCGTTCGGCAAAATGGTTTCCTGCTGAAAGAATCCCAACAAATAGATCGATGGGCCCATCTGGAAGCGGTGGGGCCTTCCATTTATTTGACATTTCAAGGTGTCTTTGAGGAGCAAAACTAGGATGTGTTGAGGGCAAAGAAGCAGCAAATACAGCATTTACATCAATGTCTCCATTCAAAGCCAATCCTGTGGCATCCTCCAATGCAAAACCCTAAAGCACATCAAGAAAACTCTGTAAGAACCATCTACAAAATAAAGATGGTTTTTTTTACTGTTATTTCATCAAAAAGAGCCCAGACGCAACTCACGGTTCGATAAGGAAAAGAGGTAATGTGTCTCCCATCAACATTAACATGATAACCCTCCAATCCTGCGCTAAGAGTTAAGACGAATAGCTTCCCTTCTGCAAAAGGGTAAGGCCAATCAAAAGTGACCTTCTTGGTTCGACCTATGAGCCGGTTCAACCACCAGCTTGATTTTGACTCCTCCGAGTGGTCATCATCATCACGGATCCACTTCTCACATTTCACCTGACCATCAACTAGAAAACCCAAAGAATTAGATGAATACTCAAGACTTTCTTGTTATTTGTAGCTTTAAATTTTGGGAGACAGTATAAATTAAGAAGAAAAGTTGTTTTCAGAGGCAAAAGAACTACGGATTGGCAGTTGAAATGAAACCTAAATGCAGTTTACAGGTTGTGGGTTCTTTCTAATCATCAATCAACCAAGAAAAACAGAATTCTGAGAAATCGGATGATATTCATCAAATCATATCTAAATGGAGAAATTTTCTTGCTTTCAATACTTGCTATATTTGATGGATTTTCAATTGTAAGAAAAACTAAAATCCATATTTAGTAATAGTATGTATGCAATTGGACTTACCAGTTTCTTCATCAGCCCTTGATTTCCATCCTTCACATCGATGAGCAGATCCCCATTGCATCCTATAACATGTATTCTGTTCAATCACAGGCTTTCCACTCCAATCTCCCTTCAATCTGGGATTAAAGTGCAAAATCCTTGGTGGGTCTTCGCCATCAACGGTCTTCAAACCCTGCAACTCCATCATAAACTGAGAGACCATCAAATACTGGCCCGATTTCAATAATGAAATCTTCGGGTCCTGATCAGGGTGAGCCTCTCTAGGCCTCCCCACAAGAGTTATATGTGATCCCAAAGTCATCCCACATGGAAGCACAATGATGCTTCCTTTTTCTCGAAAAACAGACCCAGATAACGTAATCGAATTAGGGCAACTCTCCCTCGTTTGATTTTTGGTGGTGCTGTTTTCCGAGGGTAGTTTCAGTTTACCAGATTCAAGTTCTTCCCAAAATTTCTTCCCTACTGAAAATGCCTCCTTCGCAGACTTTTGAATCCCTCCAAACCCATCTTTCGGTTCACCATTCAAACTGTTGATATCGAAATTCAAGGTTGATAAAGCTTTAAACTCTCTGATTTTTCGAGAATGCCTCGGGCTTAGAGGGGTTTTAGCAACGATTTGAGGGACATTTAGCGGACGAATCGGAGCTTCTTTTTCTTGTAATTCCTCTTCACTGTCTAAGGCATAGGATTTTTTGGACAATCCGTCGGTGAAGAAGAAACTACCAGACTCATCTTCTTGACGAACTATGCTAGATACAAAGGGAACTTCCAAACCGACCATGAGCAGATACAAAAACCCCAAACCGATCAGAAACTGAATCGATCTTTTCTGTTTTAAAGACATGAACCAGTCTAGTTTAGTCCGCTTCATGTCCAACTTCTTCAACTCTCCACACCCAGAAGGAATTTGAACAAGAAAACAAACTCACCAAACCCTAACGGTAATATGATTTCTTGTAATCATGAAAAATACTCAACCCCCGTTGAAAAATTGAAGCCGATTTGCAAACCCCCCAACCCTCCTCTCTCTCTCCAGATTGAATATGAAACCCACCCAGAGAAAGAAATGAAAAGGGACGCGTTTTGATGGTCGAAGTTTGTAGAGAGAGAGAGAGAGATAGTGGAGTGCGTGTTTGTATGTGAGAGAGAAAGTTGGGAATGGTGGAGGAAGCTTTAACAGGTCGGTCGACTGCCTGGAACAAACAAAAATTCAATTTATTCTCCATCAATTTCAAATCTAATTCAAAAAGATACCGTTTTAGTTCTTCCCATTTTTACTTATTTTTTCCCCCATTTTTATTCATCTCATTTACTTAAAAAAACATTCATTTAAGGAATAATTATATCCACTTCATCTTTTATATCAAAATCAGATCAAATCATGTATTAAAAATGTAAAATATAAATCTTGATGTTAATATATCTGACCTGAAAATTAACAGATAAAAATGTATTTAATCCACCTCATAACTATTAACAATCATTTTCAAGTGTAATTATGAAAGAAAAGGTTCAATAATGGTGTAATTAACCGTGTTAACAAGAAGTAAACGAAGTCTTAAATCCAAGAATGACTATTGATATACATGGATAAAATAAATGGTATTAAAAGCAACATATTAACTTGATTATTCATCTTTAATGACAACAAAGAAATTATGCAACATTTAATGGTGAATCCGTGGATCGACCCAGACTTTGAAGCTCGTTCATCAATTTTGAATTGGATCGAAATCAAACTTAACGGAATGAAAATTTCGACTAACGGCTCGTTCCTGATCCAAATGCACTTTATAGTTTGGTTTGAAACGTAGGACGAAGATGTGAGCTATGTTTAGTAAACTAGTTGATAAGTTAGTTGATTGTTAAGACATTGTTTGAAAAACATAATTTAGCTACGAGTTAACTCAGTTTTTGAGTAATCGTTTGAATGCACATACGTTAGATTACAAGCTAGCTTATTGATAAGCTACTTAGGCTATGTTTGACAAATTAACTGGTAGCTGATGAACGATAAGTTAGATAAGCTAGTTGATGAACAAATCATGTTTGACAAAACTAGCTGATAAGAATACAAAATAACTAAAAAGAGCATTTTTAAATTGATTATTATATATATTATAATATTTTGATTTGTTAAAACAAATTTTAGAAAAATATATTATTTATGATTTTAAACAACCATTATATATATTATGACCTCATATATCATAATTA